AGGGTCCCTCTCCCCATGGGCCCCTCCCCCACCCGCAGGACACGCCCCCTAAGCCCCTCCCCCACCCACGGGGTCGATCCCGGTTCTCACCCATGTTCGCCCCACGCCGGCCTCTGACACCGCCTCCGCTTCCGGGTTCAGAGGAGCCCCGCCCCCTCCGCCCAGGAGGAGCCAATCAGAGACCGGCCCAGCGTGGCTAACGGCAGGAGGGAACCAGGCCCCGCCTCCTGCTGGGCTCCGGGAGCGCTCACGTGTGCAGGGGGCGGGCCAGCGCAGGCGCAGTGCGCGCTCAGCGAGCCCAGGCTCTGAGCTTGCACACCAATCCCACACACTCCAGTTCATTGCACACTTACTAGCCCAGTGCACACCAATCACACTCACCCAGGTTCATTGCACACTCACTATTCCAGTGCACACTAATCCCACACACCAAGGTTCGTTGCACGCTCACTATCCTAGTGCACACCAATCCCACACACTCCAGTTCATTGCACACTTACTAGCCCAGTGCACACCAATCACACTCACCCAGGTTCATTGCACACTCACTATTCCAGTGCACACTAATCCCACACACCAAGGTTCGTTGCACACTCACTATCCTAGTGCACACCAATCCCACACACTCCAGTTCATTGCACACTTACTAGCCCAGTGCACACCAATCCCACACACCCCGGTTCATTGCACACTCACTGGATGATTGTACAACAATCCCACACACCCCAGTTCATTGCACATTCACTAGCTGATTGCACACCAATCTCGCACACCTTGGTTCATTGCACACTGGCTGGCCCATTGCTTGCTTCTCCAGCTCATTGTTCACTCTATAACTGTGCTACCGCTGGATCCCCGCTCAGCCCGGAGCCCGTGGCAGGATTCAGGCTGGATGCAGAACTGGGCTGTCTGTGATTCTGGTCCCAGGGCTCCCCGGCACAGAGCCTCGTGGCTTGGGTTCAAAGGTTAAAAACAACAATTATCTTCTCAAGGCGTTTTGGGGTGAATGGGCCAATTGGGGAGACCAAGGACTCCCTGTCCCCCCTTCTCAGGTGACCTCTGCAGAGGCTGTGCATTACCCTGCAGCAAAGCCAGGGCCACCCTGTCCGCACACTGGACTCCGGGACAAGGAGGACTCAGAGGAGGCGAGACCCCCCATCCCAGGCTACCTGAGCAAAAGTAGAATCCCCATTAGCTGTGAGGTCCATTGATGGCTGTTAGCCGGGATCTGAGACTGGGCACCAGGGGCAGAGGGATCACCTGATAATTGCCTTGTTCTGTTCACTCCCTGTGACCCACCGGGCATTGGCCACTGTGGGCAGAGAGGACACAGCTGGATGAACCTTGCTCGACTGAGCATTTTGGATTGAGTCCAGTAGAGGGCAGTGTGCACACACAGAGCACAGGGCTCAGCCCCCTCCAGCAGGGGGCGGCAGGAGGACAGGGACACACACACACACACACACACAACGGGACTCAGCCTCTCCAGCAGGGGGCTGCAGGAGGACAGGGACACACCCACACACACACACAACGGGACTCAGCCTCTCCAGCAGGGGGCGGCAGGAGGACAGGGACACACACACACACACACACACCCACACACACACAACGGGACTCAGCCTCTCCAGCAGGGGGCGGCAGGAGGACAGGGACACACACACACACACACACACCCACACACACACAACGGGACTCAGCCTCTCCAGCAGGGGGCGGCAGGAGGACAGGGACACACACACACACACACACACACAACGGGACTCAGCCTCTCCAGCAGGGGGCCGCAGGAGGACAGGGACACACGTACACACACACAACGGGACTCAGCCTCTCCAGCAGGGGGCGGCAGGAGGACAGGGACACACACACACACACGCCCATGCACAAACCCTGCAGCAGGGATCAGAGGACACACACACACACACGCCCATGCACAAACCCTGCAGCAGGGATCAGAGGACACACACACACACACGCCCATGCACAAACCCTGCAGCAGGGATCAGAGGACACACACACACACACGCCCATGCACAAACCCTGCAGCAGGGATCAGAGGGGACACACACACACACACACAGCCCCTGTAGCCGGGATCAGAGGGGACACACACACACACACACACACACACACGTGGGGAGGCAGATAAAGCTGCCCATCTCCTCTGAAGCCCTCAAAGCATTTTACAGGCCGCAAGGGCCAGTCCCGCGAGCCGGGGGCTGGAGTGAAGGAGGCTGGCAGCCCGGGCCATGAACCCAAGGGCACAGACCCAGCGAGAGACCAAACAGTCTCTGCACGTCCCCCGGGTGCAAGCCGGAGTGAGCCAGACACAGCGAACGAACCCTGTCCCTTGCGCATGGAGAGCGGAATTCAGCAATCTAGTACGTGTGTGTGTCTGTCTGTCCAAGTGTCCCCTGATCCCTGCTGGAGGGGCTGAGTGTGTGTGTGTGTATCCGTTATGTCCTCTGATCCCTGCTGTGTGTGTGTGTGTATTCTCTGATCCCTGCTAGAAGGGCTCTGTGTGTGTGTGTGTGTGTGTGTGTCCCCTCTGATCCGTGCTGCAGGAACTGTGTGTGTGTGTCCTCTGATCCCTGCTGCAGGGGCTATGCGTGAGTGAGCGTGTGTGTGTGTGTGTCCTCTGATCCCTGCTGCAGGGGCTATGCGTGAGTGAGCGTGTGTGTGTGTGTGTCCTCTGATCCCTGCTGCAGGGGCTATGCGTGAGTGAGCGTGTGTGTGTGTGTGTCCTCTGATCCCTGCTGCAGGGGCTATGCGTGAGTGAGCGTGTGTGTGTGTGTGTCCTCTGATCCCTGCTGCAGGGGCTATGCGTGAGTGAGCGTGTGTGTGTGTGTGTCCTCTGATCCCTGCTGCAGGGGCTGTGCGTGTGTGTGCGTGTGTGTGTGTCCCCTCTGATCCCTGCTGCAGGGGCTATGCGTGAGTGAGCATGTGTGTGTGTCCTCTGATCCCTGCTGCAGGGGCTGTGCTTGTGCGTGTGTGTGTGTGTGTCCTCTGATCCCTGCTGCAGGGGCTGTGCTTGTGCGTGTGTGTGTGTGTGTCCTCTGATCCCTGCTGCAGGGGCTGTGCTTGTGCGTGTGTGTGTGTGTGTCCTCTGATCCCTGCTGCAGGGGCTGTGCTTGTGCGTGTGTGTGTGTGTGTCCTCTGATCCCTGCTGCAGGGGCTGTGCTTGTGCGTGTGTGTGTGTGTGTCCTCTGATCCCTGCTGCAGGGGCTGTGCTTGTGCGTGTGTGTGTGTGTGTCCTCTGATCCCTGCTGCAGGGGCTGTGCTTGTGCGTGTGTGTGTGTGTGTCCTCTGATCCCTGCTGCAGGGGCTGTGCTTGTGCGTGTGTGTGTGTGTGTCCTCTGATCCCTGCTGCAGGGGCTGTGCTTGTGCGTGTGTGTGTGTGTGTCCTCTGATCCCTGCTGCAGGGGCTGTGCTTGTGCGTGTGTGTGTGTGTGTCCTCTGATCCCTGCTGCAGGGGCTGTGCTTGTGCGTGTGTGTGTGTGTGTCCTCTGATCCCTGCTGCAGGGGCTGTGCTTGTGCGTGTGTGTGTGTGTGTCCTCTGATCCCTGCTGCAGGGGCTGTGCTTGTGCGTGTGTGTGTGTGTGTCCTCTGATCCCTGCTGCAGGGGCTGTGCTTGTGCGTGTGTGTGTGTGTGTCCTCTGATCCCTGCTGCAGGGGCTGTGCTTGTGCGTGTGTGTGTGTGTGTCCTCTGATCCCTGCTGCAGGGGCTGTGTGTGTGCGCGTGTGTGTGTGTCCCCTCTGATCCCTGCTGCAGGGGCTGTGCATGTGTGTGCGTGTGTGTGTGTCCCCTCTGATCCCTGCTGCAGGGGCTGTGCGTGTGTGTGTGTGTGTGTGTGTGTGTGTATGTGTGTGTGTGTCCTCTGATCCCTGCTCAGACCCAGATTTATTGCATCCCTTCATTCCAGATGCGGGGAATTAAGACACAATTAACCTCCCCCCCCCACACACACACAGACAGCAGAGCTCAAGCTCGCCAGCAGGCGGATGGAGATGCGCGCGCATACACACACACACACACACACTCTCTCTCTCTCTCTCTCTCTCTCTGCAGCATTTCCTTAAGGCTGTTGGAGCAGGGACAAGCTGAGGACGGTCAAAGAGGCTTCACATCCGGTGAGCAGGAGAATTTAGGGCTTGGAATAAATGTGAAGCAAAACCTCCGATCCCTTGCCCCAGGGGTCGGGGCAGAGAAGCCAACTTCAAAGATCATGTCAGAACCCAGGCGTCCTGACCCCCAGCCCTTGCTCTACCCACTAGCCCTCACTCCCTTCCCAGAGCTGGGGACAGGAGTCCTGGCTTTCCCTCCCAGCTCTACCCACCGGGCCCCGCTCCCCAGCGAGAGCCAGGGAGGAAAGGCAGGAGACATCCCGAGAAAGAACACGGCACACGAGCTGGGGGCCTGCGGGCGCTGCAGGCTGTTCTGCACCCCACCAGGGCGAGCAACATCCTCGTCTCAGAAAACGAAACCCAGGCCGCCTGAGGGAGAGCCGGGAGTCCAGGCACTGGGACTAGAGAGGCCTCA